GGGGACATAGTGAAACACACCAGGATGTCCAGAGACAAAGAATACTCTAGGGGCCAGGAATATGAAGCTGAAGAAATAGATGATGAGGAGTTTGATGAGATGATGGCAGTGGACAACATGTCCCATCTGCAAAAAGCAGAGACATGGGGGAAAGCCTTGCCAAAAGGCTCAGGCAAAGCCTTGACAAAAGGCTCAGGCAAAGGAAAAGGAAAAGGGCCCTTGGCCATCAAAGACAAAGAAGATGAGGAAGAGAAGCCCAAGGAAAAGACAGAAGCAGAAGAGTGGAAGACCTTGCTGGGCAAGGCCAAGAGGGCCAAGGATCAATGTGCATCTGTCCAGGTGGACTGTCAGGATGCCATTGAAGAAGCAGAGAAAGCAAAAAGGCTCACCAAGCAAAGCAAGAAGGACAGTGAGGCAATGATCGAGCAGCTCAAGAGCAATGAAAAGATCCTCAAGCAACTCTTGCTCAAAAAAGACAAGGCCATGGCCCTGGAGAAGGCCAAGCAGCGCTTGGTTTATGACGTAAAATAGCAGATAAGACAGGGGCCTCTTAAGCTCGCTTAAAGCTCGCCCAAAACTCGTTTTCAAGCTCGCTTAAAACTCGCTTGTGCTGTGCTGATGTCCAATGGAAGCTCAAGAGTCAACAGGAAAGTCCAAAGCAAATTCAACTGATCATTAAAAAGTTCAAGCAAAACTCAGGGAAAGTCCAATTAAAGCTCGCGCAAAAGTAGTTTCCCGTGGCGTGAGCGTCGTGGTGAGTTCGGTGCTAGTTTATTTCGAGCTAAGCTCGCAGAAAGCTCGTGAAAAGCTCGCGCGCATTCAGTTTTTGAGCTTCGACTTGAGCTTTTGTCTAGTTTTCTTCTACCAAAGCTCGTCAAAAGCTCGCGCAAAGCTCGCCCAAAACTCGCTGAGCGGGCGCTTCCCTGGTTTCCCTAACTCCTTGAGTTTCGCTTGAGCTTTCCTTTGAACCTGTGAGTTTTGCTTGGACTTTGCCTTGAACTTTTGAGTTTTGCTTGGACTTGCCTGGTGAGAGGTGAGTTTTGGTTGGACTTTTGAAGTGAGTTTGGACTTTTTTAATTTTATTTTTAAGTTATAGACCCCCTTGTCTTATCTAGCTATTTTACATCATACTGCTTGGTGGATGCAGGCACTGCTTTGAAGAGTGTGAAGGATGAAGCCAAAGAGTTGAGGCAACTGGCAAACAAAGCTGGCAGCAGCAAAGCTGGCAGTAAGAAATGAGATGCCAAGCCCTTGACAAAAGGCAGTACCCTTGCCAAAAGGGTGGCTAAAGAAGATTAATCCTTGCCAAAAGGAAGCTGTGCAAAATCCTTGCAAAAAGGATGTAATTTCACAACTCCTTGCCAAAAGGAAACTGTGCAAAACCCTTGCAAAAAGGATTCATGTTCACAACTCCTTGCCAAAAGGAAGCTGCGCAAAACCCTTGCAAAAAGGATTCATTTTCACAACTCCTTGCCAAAAGGAAGCTGTGCAAAACCCTTGCAAAAAGGATTCATTTTCACAACTCCTTGCCAAAAGGCTGAATGTTCATGACTCAAAATCCTTGCCAAAAGGATGCAGCTTCACAGCTCCTTGACCAAAGGAGGCTGTACAGTTTCATGACCCCTTGCCAAAAGGGTGTATGAGAACAAGCAGACAACTTCAGGGATTGAGCAAAGAAGGGTGTGACTATGCCTTGAGGTGTTGAACTGGTTGGTTTCCAGTTGCACTACAGCCCAGAGCTGTACCTAGTAAACATTTAGGTTCATCTCATCTATAGCTTTGTTTGTGATTGAAAAGCATGTGTTGCATCTGGCTTATCAGCAGTAGTGGCACTGTAGAACTATGGGCCACTGTAGACCTTCAAGCCCTTGCTAAAAGGGCTACAAGAGGCTTGAAAATCCTTGCTGAAAGGATTGATGTTGGGTGAAAGAAAAGTGAAGAAAGAGGATTAGGGGGTGGGAGAAGGAATTACAGATGGCAAATCCTTGCCAAAAGGATGAGATGAAAGAGGATGAAATGCCTAGCCCCATGTGCACAAGGCTGCTTCAGCTCTGGAGCCAGGGAAGAATATCAGCAACTCAGGCTTGTGAGCTAGCACACATGAATGTACTTGGAGGCGATCAACACTCAGAGATGATGAGCCTTGCCAAATGTGGGAACTTTCAAGAGAGCAAAGGAAACTGCCACAGGGACCTTCTGGCATGGTGCTGCAGAAGCATGGGGCTGCCTCAGCCCCAGGAAGTTGTGGTGCCAATGCTTGATTTGAAGAGCCAGAAGGAAGTCCAGACAGGGGCATCCATCCTTTTGCCACATCTTCTTTTTTCCAGGCTCAGTGACAACTATGCCGATGCCTTTGAGAAGCTGTTTTGCACACAGCACTGCCAGGCCTTCTGGCATCAGGTTCAGCGTGTGAAAGATCCAAGGCTGGCTGAACCACTTGCCAAAAGTGGTGTTGTTCAAGCTCCAGCCAAGACAGTGCCAGTCTTTGTACATGGAGATGGCTGTGAATTTAAAACAGGGACAGCCAGCCTGATGACTTGGTCATGGGGCAGCCTGCTTTCCAAGCAGAGCTGCCTCAACAGCCATCTCCTGATTTGTGCAATACCCAAGAGCTGCACACTACCCACAACATGGCCTGTGTTGGATGCTTGGATTGCATGGTCTTTTGAGGCTTTGGGCAAGGGGTGGCACCCCTGTGAAGACCCTTGGGGTAACCCCTTGCCCAAAGGGGAGTTGGCATCCTTGGCTGGCAAGCCCTTGACAAAAGGGCACCACAGGGCAGCACTGTGGTCAATACAAGGTGATGCTGAGTTTTACTCAAATGTGCTCAAGGTTGGACACTGGGCCTCCCAGTATCCTTGCTGGCAGTGCGACTGCCAGCGACCAGTGTTCAGAAAAGTGCCATGCCCTGCTGGCAAGTCAGTGAAGCTATTGAAAGCATCAGAGCAAGACTACAAATATGTAAGCCCAGCAGAGGCACTCCTTGCCAAAAGGAGCAATCATACACTCTTTGGAATCACTGGTGTTTCAACAGCTATGATCAGGGGTGATGCCCTGCACATATTGTATTGCAAGGGTGTTGGGTCGCACCTGGCAGGCAGCCTGCTACATTACATGGCCTTCTATGATTGGCCTAACAGGCAGAAAGTCTCAGCCTCCAAGAGGATCCAAGTGATATTTGCCAAAGTGAAGGACATCCATTCTGAAAGAAGAATTTCCAACAGACTGACCAACCTCAGACTGTCGATGATCACAGACACTCAGTCTCCTTTCAAGGCCTTCCCAGTCTTGGAATGCAAGGCTGCAGAATGCAAATGGTTTCTGCCAGTGTTGGAGCAGATTTTGGCAGATTGCCTGGATCTTGGAGTTGACATCCACCAAAGCATGGTGCAGTGCTGCAAAGCCTTCAACCAGTTGGTGCAGCACTTCGATGGCTGTGGTGCTTTTCTCACTGCTGCAGAGTTTGCAGCAGCACAGGAGCTTTCCACAAGCTTTTTCAACCTATACAGTAGGTTGAACTGCTGGGCAGCAGGAGAAGGAAGGAAGCTCTTTCACATCACCTTCAAGTTCCACTCCATGCTCCATTTGGTTCAGAACAGCAAATGGATGAACATCAGGCTGCATGCCAACTATAGAGCAGAATCCTTTGTGGGACAGATGTCTGTCATTGGCCACAGTGTGAGCTTTGGAAACAAAGCTACAAGAGTTTGCACAAAACTCTTGCAGAAGTACTTGGTACTTCTGCACCTGCAGCTCACCAGGCCTGGCTTTGGCAATCAGCCAGAGGATGACTGTGACCCTTAGGTGTGGAAACCTTGTCAAAAGGTTGAACACCTTGGCAAAAGGTGTGGGCACCTTCATGTGAACACCTTGACAAAAGGTATGAACACCTTGGCAAAAGGTGTGAAAAGGTGTGAATACCTTGGCAAAAGGTGTGTGGACACCTTGACAAAAGGTGTGTGGACACCTTGACAAAAGGTGTGAACACCTTGACAAAAGGTGTGTGGACACCTTGACAAAAGGTGTGAACACCTTGGCAAAAGGTTGGAACACCTTGGCAAAAGGTGTCAACCCCTTGGCAAAAGGGTGGAGCACTTTGACAAACAAAATACAAAGATCAGTTTCACTTGCATATCTTGAAGACATTGCATGAAAAAGGACATAAATCATTGATTGTTTAATTGATTTTGTTATTGATTTTGTTATTGATAAAATCAATAGAAAAGCAAAAAAATATATTGATTTTCAATGTTTTTTTCTATTGAAAATGTAGTCTTCCAAATCAATTAAAATAATTGATTTGGAAGACTACAAAATCAATTATTTTGAGCTTATTGATTAGAATCAATAACCGATGCTCAGGGCACCTGCACCAGCTTCTTCAGTTCGTGAACCTTTTTTTGAGTTTTGGGACGCCGTGGCCTTTTTGGAGTGCCTCCAACATGACCGAACCAACCAGTGGCTCCAGTTCGGTGATTTGATGAGCAGGCTTCGGTGCATGGTAAATCACTCCTTCGGATGGGACACAGTTCCAGTTTCAAGACGTTCCAGTTCCGTGATTTGGGGTGTGAACCGGGTCTGTCTTGGTCTTTTCGGCGATGTTTTTGGACCTGGAACCACGACCTTCGACCCATCTCGTCGCTCCGCGCGCGCGCGCGACCAGGCGCGTCCAAGCCCTGCGCCGCGAGTGTCGACCCGAAGGTTCGACCCATCCAGTTTCGACAGAAAAAGAAAAGAGAACCTACCTAGGAGTCACATGGAGTTGGGTGGTGTCTAGTCCCATCTTCCGGGGCCGTGGATGTGATGTGACAAGGGCCACCCAACCACTAGCTCTATGGATCGCATCCCCGCATACTATCGAACGTGACTGCAGGTATAGATAGGTGGTGGTTTCGGAGATGTTAATGTTCAAGCCAACCACTTGGAGATGGTTGGCCTCTGACTCATATATGTTTCAGGAAACACCAACGTGCCGGAACACGTGTCGTGTTCCACGGCAGGTGACCCTACTTGAGGGCACTGACGACATCGGTGGTCACTCCAAAACTTGGGTGGAGCCTGTGGATGGAGGCGAACAGGGACACGAGGCATTGGAGGACGGCGAGGGAAGGGTCTGAAGCTGCTTATTGGAGGGCGGAAAGTGAAGCTGAATCACCTGCCCAGGCCTTTTGGGGGATTGGGGACACCCTGCTCAAAACCAGATGGAAAGTTTGGTGCACCTTTATGCTCCAGTGAAACGGCACGGGAGTCAGCAGACCATCCATAGCAATCCTGGAATCCTGAGAAAGTGATAACTGCTTCAACCTTTGATGCCATACTGGAAAGGTCTGAAGTTGCTTTGTATGCGGCTTGTAGACCCATCCTGTGTGTAGATCATGTGCGTCACATGTTTGTTTCGCATCCAGCACTGCTTTGGAACTCCTGAGTATTTGTTATGTCATTCTTATAGTTGTCCCTTTTCCTAGAACCCGAGTGACCTCTTTTGGATCAACCACCCCTATCATATATATGGTCAAACGTCCTATCATACAGTGTCAGGCGCCGGGGTTCCTTCCGGTTTGAATCCTTCGGTGAGGGAATGACCATCCTTTGGTCTGACGGATTTCGTCATCCAGCGGGTGGATGGCCACCCAGGTGGATGGCATCAGCTTAGCTTGCGCACGCGGCTCCGAAGTCCTCTCACCAGGTTTAATCGCTTTTTGATGCTTTTTGCCCGGAAGTCACTGCACAAAAAACACACAGACTTGAGCTTTCCAACTCATCGAAGGCAACCAGATATTTTGGAGGACACCTGAAGTAAATGCCTGTGGGAATGTTGGATCCTTCCACATAGTAAGCAAAATCAAGTATTAATACAATAAAATCATCCCGGACCTTCAAAGTGACCTTTTGATATCCCAGGATGAGGTCACTTAGGCCAGTAAAGGCTCACTTAGAGACTCCAAAGAGGTCACGAACTGAAGGTCCTGGATGATTACCCTCTGACGAACACATCACATGGAAGTGGAACACCTCCTGTTTGTAGAGGATTTCATGGTCATTCCAGTGGCCATGCCATCCAATGACCCCATGGAGTGTCGGAGTGGTTTCCCGACTTCATCGTCCTTGGGTCCACCAACACACCGCAGCACGCAAGTCAAGCGCCAGGCGACTTGCCCATCGACATCGGCTTCATTTTTAACAACGCCACTGGATCTGGGAAACAAAACCTGAACCTCCCAAGTCCTATCCAGTGGATCCCAGGCAAACCACGAGTAGTAAGGAACCAGGGGCCCTCGTTCGGTCTGTGGTTTTAGTCGAACTGGAACCTGGGACTCCCACCTGCCTGGATGCCCTGGGCATGTGAAAGGAACCTGAGAACGGACTTTGCGGGTCGTGTATGCGCAGCAGCGGTGCCTAAGCACAGAGGAGGTAGGCGAGCCGCTGCCGGAGAGGTAGTACGTCAACGGGGAAAAGCGCGCGGTCGATATCAGACCTTAGAGCGTATGACGGATAGGGGAAAGGTGTAGTTCTTGGTGTGCATCAGTGGTTTCTGCGAGTAAGCATGTCAGTGCTGATGTGCAAACGAAATCGATCTGCTCCGAAAACTGAAAAAACTCAAGAAAAGAGAGAGAGAGAGAGAGTGTAGAGACCGTGTACTGTATATAAGTCATGCGTACTACTAAAACGCAGGCCTGCAGTGACAGCATCAAAACATGACCTATTGGAGGGTGTGTGTCTCGGAACAAGGCCTGTCACAAAACCAGTCGGGTGGATGGGCGCCTCTTCAAAGCTTTTCAGGTACTTCTCTGGGAGCAAAGCAGGAGTGGACACCAGCTTCCATGTCGAAAAAAACTTTTGGGAGTTGAAACAGTCGCGCTGTCCCTGGCAGCTGCATGAGAGTGCAAGACGTGGTCGTTCAGAGATGGCTGCAGCCACAGGCGAATTTCCCACCAAAGAAAGTCAAGTCTCCAAAACGCGCATTGGGTTTCTTCCGAAAGGTGAATGAACGCATGATGTCACCCAATCCCAAGCAGTTTCGCAATCCCAGCTCCGCTAACACGGCAATCCCAATGGCACAGTGCCATTCACCTCCACCAAAGCTCACAACCTCACGCTTCCCTGCGCCTGCCAGGAAAACTCAACTTCCACACCCCCAACACGCACAAAGGACCGCGCCTGCCACGAAAAGTTGCTGCACATCTTCATGTGGCGAACTGTGCGTCACACCACACAGTTCGAGTTCCTCACTTTCTGAGCAAATTGACCTCCAAAACCGTTTCAAGGCCAAGCCCTGCAAATCCCGGCGAGAAGGCTTCTCCAAACGACCGCCAAACGACCACGCCAATCTCAATGGCACCGTGACCAAATGTCCTGAAATCACCAAACGCTGCAGGTGCAGGAAATCAGGCTGCACACTTGAGTAGCTATGTTTGCATGCTATTTTGCACGAATCGGACCCTTCCCCCTCCATCCAAGAACTCCTCCAAACGGCAGGAATTTTCGACCCGGCGCGGCCCTGACGCAACAAGAGATACAAAACCATGCTGGGCGAACGCAGGTCCTGGTCCAGGCCTCTACCATCCTAATAGCGATGGCCTCCAACCTAAACGTGAACCCTTTGCTACGCATTCGGGAAGAACGGCTGGGACGTTGAAACGAGATGTGACCGGGATTTCAGTGGGCCAAGGTCAGTTAGGTTTGATTGTTGGAGGGACCAACACCATGTTTCGCCCACTTGGATATCCGACCCACTATCCGACCCTTTTGTCAAAGATGCTGAAGGACAAAGTAATCTAGGACCAGGGACAGATCTATCCCAACCCACAGAAGATTGTAAGAACGTGAGGAATTGGATGCAAAGCACCAGTGAACACCTGCAAAAGAGTGCCCCGTTGCACACAAACACCAGCTAATCCAGCTGCGAGATGATAGTCTCTGATAGCAGAGCAAGAACTTCATACCCAAACACTCCTTCCATGCAACTATGGCCTACATGTTTCTTTTGATTGTGAATGTATGCCATATGTGCGCCGCCATGGAGCGTTTGGAATACTTTAGATGGACCCACTTTCCAAGTAGCAGAGTTTCTCCCACATCGTGTGCGGATTCCTTGCAGAAAGGATGCACGTGGAACTAGGACCTTCATGGTTCTTTCTTGCTGGCCTTTTGAGCGATGGAACCATACTTAATTATACCAGGTCCAAAGGATTCCAACCAGAATCATTTTAATAACTTGAATCCCAAACAACAACATTTTCTACTAAGGATGTTTGCACTAAACCAGGTTGACCATGTTTAAAAATGGTTGAACGGAAGGCTGGGAATGTTACCCACAATGTTTTCGAGAGAATGGTGGGGGTATCCTGTTACTGTTTCACTGTCTAGAATCTAGAAAGACTTAAAGCCCGGATACTTTCCTAAATCACAGTGGCAAACCACCAGGAACACAATGTTATACCATGGGTGGCAGCATGCAGATAGCAAAACAGTTCTATACACGAGTTTGTTTGAACGCAGTGAAGATCATCCATCTATCCATCCAACTCTGAGAAACAACACTTACACCCAACACAAGAGAATCTTTCAAGAAATCCATCGCCCTATGAATCCCAAGGTTCACTACTACAAGTACATCAACTTCACCACCTACTTTGATTACCCTTTGCACGACACGGCACTCAATACCTCGGGAGCCTTCAATGGCAGCGCCTTGGCGGTCCTTGTTTCACCGAACCGGGTCGTCGCATGGACGTCGAGGCATGGTCGAGGAACCGCCAGCGCCGGCCATCGCCTAGGGGCCTCCCTCCCTGCACAAAGCCTAACAAAGCCTCGTAAAGATTGACCAGTCTTTGCAGCGTTCCTGCCTTGAGTCGACCCATTCGTACCTTGGAAAATGGGTACAGTCGTACCTTGTTTTGATGGGGTCATGTCCCAGGCTTCTAAGGTACTTGGTTAGTCGGGTCCAGGTGTGAACCAAGGTTCATGGGATTTGCAATTCTTGTTCTGGGCTGAAGGAGAAGATGGCTTGGTAGCTGACTCACTGAACTCCTTTTGACTCTGACATCTTTTGACGAAAGGCTTGGAAACAAAAGATGCACCAACCCCTTTTTGACGCACTCAACTTCAAAGGGCTTTACTTTACTGGACAAAGAATGCACCATCAAGCACCATCCAGGCAGAATCCGACTACCCTTTATGGCCTTGGCCTTATGGCCCCTTGGTTTTTTCTGGGGTCAACCGTTCCCGTGGTACGTGTTTGTGTTGGAATATATACCTATAGGCCTATAGGGACACAAGATATAAGAAAACATAGCACATGAAAAAATAACAATCTTAGTATGAAAAAAACGATAACTCATCCAGGAGCCTACAAACTGTTAGTATTTGTTCATCTCTATTAAAAAAAACATCAATAAAAGCAAACATATAACAATAGTATATTATAAATAGGTTATTTGTGTAAGAAAAGCCGGACCTTACCACGTGGTATCATACTGTGAGCCTGGATACGCTGAGGATATTGGGATAACGTGCACTCTGAACGAGGTGTCTTTGGAGAGGAGCCGACGAACTGGACGGCACAGTGGTACACACTCCCTGGAAGAATGGCCTCCACCCTAGTAGCAAGGGCCTCCAACCTGGTAGATATAAGTATACACTTCCTGGAAGAATTATGGAAGTGGACCATCCCCTGTTTGTAGAGGCAGATACTGCTTATATCATTAATGTCAAGTGAACATATAACACAATATAAAACAATACAGTACACTCCGAGTCACGTTGCATGGAAGTGGATGGCACCACCTGTTTGTTATTTGGTAATCCTTTTGGAGATGCCATCTACCTAGCAATGAATTTGTTCAGAGAGTGATTCAGCATCTTTGGTGGTCGAAGTGGTAGCACAAGTCCCGTCAGGTCAGATTTTATGGACTTAGTTCACAATCGCTTTCTTCAGACGGTTCCAACCCTAGCACCTGTTAAGAGCAGATAAGTTGTGTGGGAAATATTCATCAAGGGCAGTTTAGTACTTGGACAAAGTGACCAATACGTATTTTATGCCACTTCTTGGGTAGATGGTTCGGCTTTCACTTGCTTCCTGCGGCCTACTTTTGATGGAAGTCCCATGACAGCAAAGGGCCATTGGAAGATCTCGGGCACCCAGATGGAAGATCATGGAAGCCTCAAACTTCTGGAGAGCGGACATATTGAAAACATGTTGGACACCATCAAACCAATGTTCAGTTTCGGTAACTCAGATGACTTTCCGATACGCTCCCGATGGGGACAGGACAGACTGGACCGGGTTCCAGGTGGTCCACTTTTGTCATGCCTTGGGTCCATCCTAGTAGGTGACAACAAGGTATATGCAGGTGGACATGCATGGCGAGAAGATTGGAAGGATTATATATGGGTATTTCAAAGACGCCCCTCGCAAGAAGCTACTAGTAACAAATGGCATCGCTACTAGGAGCAAGGACGCTACTAGTAGCTCCTGGCATTATACTACTAGGAGCAAAGGGCAACTAGGAGCAAATAGCTACTAGTAGCTCCTGGCAGAGTCAGCTGCAGAGTCCTCGCTACTTGTTTTCTGCAAGACCACTGATGACCCCGGATGTTGCTTGACAGGATGTAAATCTACAACGCATATCCCATACACTCCATGCATGGAATATATGCCGACATTGAACCCCCCAAAAAAAAACACCCCAACTGATCGGCAGTCCTATGGCAGTCCCAGACCCGTCGTGTCTGGGTATGATGGAACTTGACCACCTGGCTCAGGTTCCACGTCTTTTCCTTCCGTGGCTCAGGTGACCTAACCGTCCGTCCGTCGAGACCCGTCGAGACCCTCGACCCGTCCTTCCACGGCGCGGTGACCTCGCCTTCCTCGGTTCGGCCGGAGGAACTGGAGATCGAGGTAGACCGATTCTTAGAGCTCGTGAAGGAGCCGGAGGATACCTTCAGGCGAACCGGTAGCCGGTTCGGTTCGGGGAGACGGTTCGACCGGGAACCGGTCCGGCCGGAGTTCGGGGAAGACCGGTGGACATGGACGAAGCGGCCATCGGTAGGCACAGGCCGTCTTCATGGAAGAGCCGGTGTAGGTGGTGTTCCGTCCCTGGGCCGGACGTATACGTTTGCACCGATGGTAGGGTCATGGTAGGGTCATGGTGCCATGTTCGCAGGGAGTTCTTGATGTCAGGTCCGGAGAGATACATGAAAGAACTGAGAGGGTGATAGAAGAACTGAGAGACTTGACAAAGGAATGAAAAGGGAACACCCAACCTGGAGAGTAATGTTCATATTGAAAACATCACATGAACTTGGCAAGTTCCACTTCAACAGACAGCTCCCCAAAATTTAGACTTTTGCAGACTTTAATCAGTTGCAGGTGGTGACCTGAAGGTTGCTTGGAGGGTTGGATTTTTGATTTGGATGTGGTGAACATGAAGACAACATCAAATATAGGCACAGAAGATGAGAGCTAGTATCCGGATGATTCAATGCGCCAGCGTAGCACACATAGCACTGACTGAAAGATCTGGCACTAGAGCTAAATAGGGGGAGAAAGATTGAACCTTTCAGATTAAGCACAGTTCCCTTCGAATAAAGCGAAGCAATATGACAATGACCGTGTTCTTGGCATGTTGTCGTCGTCGCGTTGTCGTCTGCATGAGACATTTTCACTGGGACGGTTGAGTGCGTCGCTTGGTTTCAGATTCGATGGATACAGAAAATTCTGCAGTGTGATCATTCTGTTTGTTGAGGGATTCCACCTCACGATATGGCCAAGCCCTTGCGAGATTTGAGGCGAAGAGTGTCCCTTCACAAGTGCTTTGCAGATATGTTGTGTCAAGATTAGATCTGGTATCTCTATGGCTACCTGCAGCTTCTGGGCAGGTGCCTCCATTTGGTTTGCCACACCTGTAACATGAGGCAGAATGCTTTTCATGTCATGTGAACAAATGCAACAAATAAACATGAACTATACACGCCGAATCACTTTCCACTTAAGCGGATGGCACCACCTGAGACCTCGTCTTCGGAAGACGAAAATGGGCATCCTTCTGGGGCCGTTTTCCATCTACGTAAGCATGACTCAATGCACGGGAATGCACGGGAATTGCAATACAATAAAAACACCGAAAACACCGAAGAGGTATCTGAAAACGCCTATAGCAAGTGTTTTGTGATTCTATGGAGCAAGTAACTCTCTACCATGAAGGCCTTCATGGGAACACAGTTTCTGTTTTTGTTACTTCTTTTACAACCGAATCCAAACAAAAACAACCCCTATAGGGCTTGAAGTACATCGGTATGGTAATTTGAACCCTCCAAACTTCTCAGAAGCTACTCGGAGCCGCAGGGAAAGTGAAGAGTGACAAGACTATGTCATAAAGGATGGTGAAGCCAGGTAACTTTCAACTCGTCCCTAGCCCTTCCCCAAGATTGGATGGAGGATTTGATCCAGTTCAGTACCTCATCCACTTCAGAACATCCGGGCACCCGTACAGTCCACCTTCTAAGAAGCGCTTCTTACAGTCCACCCGGACTGGTTTTTGTGACGCATGCACGTTGAAATCAACGTTGCCAAATCCGATATCGATGTGCGGTATACCGCTATCGAATCAACCTCTCCCCCATGACGTGAAAGAAGCCGAATGGGCCTAGACGGTGCTTTCAGATGCCGCACCTCAGACCGGATTAATCCCAGACACCCTGGCATATGAAAACCTATAGTACTGTACATATACGGTTCCACAAAAGTACAATCCTAGCACTTCGGTGATGTGTTTCTTCGACGATGGCGATCTGTCTGCCTTCACCCAACGTGACCTTGAACTGGAGTCTTGACCAGTGACACTACCAGGCCCTGACCAGTCATCGGCATCTCAAGGATGGTCACGAACCGCGCAGGTCGCCTGGGAAGAGTTTTTGTTTTGCGTCCGTTCTCCCATTTTCTGGATGAGATGGAAGGTACTTGACTCCCTTGGGCGCTTTCCTTTGGTGGCATGGCTTTTCAGATGACTTCTATAGGCCGGGCTTTTGTGGAAGGCAAAAACGGGCGGGTTCACCCCGTGCCGGAACGGGCCGTCGGAGGCCCAGGCCGAAACAGTGGATCCCGGACTTGAACGATTCCTTTGCCGAAGAAATACCTCCCTACCTGGACCCTCCGACCCTCGGGGTGTCCTGGCTGGACTACCCCACACTACCTAGAGGCTTCCAGACCACAGCCACCTTCTCAGAAGGTACTTGGAGCCCCCCCAAAACCTACATAGCGGTGTCTCCGTCCTCACCTGCTGAGGTTCAGTACGACTGGATCCCTAGGGCCTGGTTATGAATATTCCGGTTGACCTGGTGAAGTCACCCCGAAGCAACGGAGCACTCTTTCTGGGTTCACGGGCGTTCTTGAGTCGTCCTGGAACTGGGCTGTCTCAGACATAGTCAAGTTGACAATCCACTCGCCACGCCACAGCCACCAGTCAATTGCTTCGAAGGGGTTACCAATGGACAACCCTACACTGCTTATAGGTCACCAGACAGGACACCCAAACAGGAAGCGCTAGGTATGTCCTCCAATGGTCTAGAAGAGAACTCACATGAACTCACCGTCCTCAAGCAGAAACCCAAAAAACGCTCGGCACCCCGCGCGCGGACGGGTTTGTCCCAGGCGTTCCGACCCTCTGGAAGAAGGGAAACATCGACCCGTCTACTATTCCATTGATTGGAGGTCCCCGTATTCAAACACACACCCAAAATGGCTGACACTTCTACCTCAGAATCAGCTGGAGTTCCA